TATCACCCTCGTCGATCCACGCTGCTCACATCACCAGATCGTGATACACTGATAACCGAAGGTTTGTTGTCAATAGTTAAAACACTATTCTTTAGTATGATATGCAGCGATAAACAGAATGATAACGGCTGTATCATCAATGAGTCAGGCCTCTCGCACTTCGAAACGCCGCTCGAGATATTGCACCTGGCTTATCGCAATGGGCATCTTCAGTTTTCAGTCCTCACTCCTCAGCATTAGGGACAGTACCAAATCATAGCCAGGATACCTATCGACACCTGTGAGCCTAGCTGATTGGCTTACGCGAATTCTAAGAGTTAGGCAATCAGAGCACGTGGCGTAGGCGGCGAGTCAGGATGGTACCAGGAATGACCCTGGCATCAGAGTTATGCAAAAGCTGGTTTGAACAAAGACAAAGGTATAAGAAATTATGCATTCGCAGGGTGCACGCTTAAAAGTAACTACAGGGTGTCCGGAAATTATTTCCTCCTTGTTCATTCAGCTTTAATCCCACCGTGCGCCTTAAAGGTATTATCAGGGTTTTTTCCGAAATTTCGGAGTTACTCAGTGAAACGTGTAGAAGAAGGTGGCTGAGGCCCCAATCCGAAGTCATTCGTCTCAAAATTGCCTAATTTCCAAATGGTGGGCCTCCAAAGTTGATCCGTCTGCCAGCCAGTACCTGGAGGAGGCAGTACCAAGTACTCGGATACATTTCCCTATAAGTCCATAGGCTTAACACTAGCTAGAGACTTCTAGAGATATTTTTTATGCCAGATAAGGCCGTCGCATACCAGATAAGGCCGCAACGGCCGTTCAACGTTACGTGGGGAAATGGGAGAAATCTAAAGACTTTTTTTCTCTGACGTCTCCACTCCAATATCTCTAGCGCAACTGGCAAGCGTTGTTAGCATTGGCTCGTGTCGTCGTAAATAAGATTTGTTTGACGGATATTCCGTAAGTTGAGTGTGTTGTTGTAATTTCTGAGGCTGTATGAGTTGGACGGAATGGCGCCATCCCGCCATGTGCGAAATCTGTGCGAAACAAAGCTGTTCCTATTCATATTTGAATGTTCAAGACTTGTGGGCTTTGTAGCCAGTGCGTGTAGCTTCTAGATATCCTGTGGGTTATCAAAAATCAAAATAATTAAAAAATTATGTTGTGTGCTTTCAAACTAAGCTCATCTCGAGTGTAATTCAAGAATGTCTTAGTTCAAGCAATTAAACTTGAAAGTGATATAGCTCCAGCAATGAAGAAACTTGGGTGGAACGTTGAACCAAAGTTACCTATCATTTGTAATGTTAATGCTAAGTGCTGAACGTTACCAATAATTCAAGACATCCGTTGTAAGATTATGACGCAGATCAACTTTGATCAAGTGAAGAAAATAGATTTCAGATGAAATAATGTCAATGTTCAAGGCTGAGCGACTGGCACTTGGCAGATTTCGGAGTGAGCACGAGTGGCCTTGAGACATTCTGTTTCTGTAGGTACTCAAAATAAATAAATTATCATGTTGTGTGCTTTGAGGTTAAGTGTTATCAGTGGTGCTTCATGGTTGTGCTTTATTGTTGGTGTATGGGCATATTTTGAGCACATTGCAGCATGATATTGGTGGTGTGTAAAGCAACTGATCTCCGCACACTTTGCACTCAACAATGAGCAATGCATTGCTGACTGATATCATTTATTCTGTGTTTGTAGCACAAAGTACAGAAGTGGCACATACATTGTTACTTTGAAAACCTGATGTGAATTTGATGTAGAAAATTGGTGGCTGACGTTGAGTCCTTACGTATTGTGAGTAGTGTACAGCTGGTGCATTGAGCAGACTTGAGACCAGTGACGTTTGTATCAGTAGACTGTGTTTGAGTCTACTTATATGGCCTTGGTTTGAGTGTGGTGACCGAGTAAGCTGGTGTGTGTAGCCATGCAATAAGTGTTTTGAAATATATTTTTGGGACAGTATTGAAATGGTGCGTTTTGGCCATCTGGCATGGATGATGGAAAGCCACTAACTCAACTTCAGGAACGCTTCTTCATTATGCTCATCTAAGGCACAATCATCTAATTTCTCTTCGCAAGGATTGATTACTAATTCACTGTCAATTATAACCTGGTCCAGAAGGTTTCGCTGGGCCACACGGTTCATACAGATTCATCCACAGTGCTCAGCAGTGCATGTTTTCAGATTTCAACAGACTGTAATTGTTTCTGTATGTACATATGCATCATGCAAGGGTACAACAGATGCGGTATTTGGTAAGCAGTTGGCAGCAAGGTGGTGTTTGTACACTACTTATTGGCAGAACCAGTTGAGCAGGACTAAAACTATCCTAGTTTCTCTCCAATTTACTCAGATCCGTCTCAACACATTGAACATATTGAAAGCGTCCATCCATGAAGATGTCTGCATGTATACTCATTTCCGAGAAGGCACGCTCGTCGCTCATCCATTCCGAGCAGGCACGTGCGTGCCCATCGCCGGCGCGCATTAGCGCGCGTCCATGGCTGGGGCGCACGCGCGCGGCCATGGCCGGCATGCACGCGCGCGCGCCCATCGTCGGCACGCAAGCGCGCGCGCGTCCATAGCCGGCGCGCGCGCCGCGTCCTTGCCCGGCGAGAACGCCGCGTCCGTACCCGGCGCGCACCCGCGCGCGTCCACAGCCGGCACTGACAGACCCTGACCGACGGGCGTGCTGCCGTCGGCGGTCCTGACAGATGGGCGGCGGGCCCGGCTCCCGCAGCTCCGGCAGCGGGCGGCAGCCATGGTCGGCATACACGCGCGCGCGCCCATCGTCGGTACGCAAGCGCGCGCGCGCGCCCATCGTCGGCACGCAAGCGCGCGCGCGTCCATAGCCGGCGCGCGCGCCGCGTCCTTGCCCGGCGAGAACGCCGCGTCCGTACCCGGCGCGCACCCGCGCGCGTCCACAGCCGGCACTGACAGACCCTGACCGACGGGCGTGCTGCCGTCGGCGGTCCTGACAGATGGGCGGCGGGCCCGGCTCCCGCAGCTCCGGCAGCGGGCGGCAGCCATGGTCGGCATACACGCGCGCGCGCCCATCGTCGGTACGCAAGCGCGCGCGCGCGCCCATCGTCGGCACGCAAGCGCGCGCGCGTCCATAGCCGGCGCGCACCCGCGCGCGTCCATAGCCGGCGCGCACCCGTACCCGGCGCGCACCCGCGCGCGTCCGTACCCGGCCCGCACCCGCGCGCGTCCACTGCCGGCACTGACAGACCCTGACAGACGGGCGTGCTGCCGTCGGCGGTCCTGACAGATGGGCGGCGGGCCCGGCTCCCGCAGCTCCGGCAGCGGGCGGCAGCTCCGGTGACTGTTCCGGCAGCTCCGGCAGCGAGCGGCGTCTCCGGCAGCGCTCAGCAGCGGCGCCAAGCAGCAGCAGCGGCTGAGCCAACAGGCGGCCGCGGAGGCACGCCCCCCCCGGCCCCCCCTTTGCACATTGTTCGTCCATGGAGATATCTGCAAGCACGACCATTGTTGAGAGGGCACGTGCATCCATGGCTGAGCACTGAGCAGGCACGTGCGACCCCTTTGCACATTGTTCATCCATACATATCAATATAATTTACCTTATTGATTAGTGTGAGTCTTGCAAAATCTTAAACTCAGAAATACCACAAGGCAGGCTGCCTGGGTGAGTTGCTAATATGAACATAATGAACATTATACATTAGTGCAGTACCTATAAGTATCCATGCTGTGTGAAGGACTTGGCCCTCACGTTCATTCGTTTGGTCTTGTGACTAGCAAGTAGAAGCTGGCAAAATGCAAGGAGCTTACAAAGCATGCTTATATGTAGATAACTGAGGATGATTCTCTCAATTGAAGCATGATCCACACTCATCAGCTTCTTCTGTTCTGTTCCACAAACTAAAACTGAAATGACTCAATTTTCCTCAAAATATATTCATTTATCACTCATAAACAACAAAAATATACATTAACCCTCGCCCGTAAACGGCGATCTGCCACCTTCGCCCATGCAGGGGGGGGGGGGTTGGTGCGACCCCCCCCCTTGGCGTTTGAAAACGGAGCGTCGTAGAGCTTAGCGGAAAAGACCAACGGATTGCTCTCGCCGAGATCTCGCGATTGGTGGTATATTTTTTGGTCCTAGGTCAACATTTGACCTACTTTTGACCGGTCAAAGGTCAAATTTTCGGAAAAATAGACTTTTTTCAACTTTCGGCGGCGATTGCGGCAAAACGGTGGGAGATATCGACTTGAAACCTTCACTATCGTGTTCCTTGATCAATTCTCTATCGTTTGGTATGTATTTCGTTTCCCTAGCTCTAAAAATGGCGCGTTGGGAGCGCCGGGCATGTTTTTTAATCCCACCCAGAAATGACAAACAAGCTCCCTGATTGGCCAGTTGCCGGCCAGTTGGACTTGAGCGGTCGCCATGGTGGTATTGGGGACTCGGCCGGCATCGTTAGGTGTTGAATTATGTGTTTCGTTGTGCTAGATATTGCCAATTTGCTTTGATATTTGATAAATAACGTTGGCTCATTCTTTGGTGACCTTGCATACAAATACGACGATATTTTGATACCGATTATTATACATCAAACATCATGAGACAAATGTGGCGATTTCCACACCCTTTTGCAGTGCCCCCTCCCCTTGTGTAGTGAGCAAGGCTATATAAACGTAGTGAGTTAACAGGCTTGTAAGAACCAAGTGAACCATTTTTTAGTCAAGTGGTCATGATCATCCCTACATCTAATGGATAATAATCTTGCGCAAACTTATAAAGTTCTGGAGGAAGCGGAAGTTGCGATTTTGGAGTACGCAAACTTGATATTAAAAATCTCAGGTATTTTGGCTATATAAAGTGAGAAGAAAAGTTCAATTGATCATTTTTATTACAATTGCAATAATGATAATATCATGATAATTGTACTGTCAGGTATTGATGATAGTCATGTCACGTCATGCCACTAACCAGGCACACAGACACAACACATTTTCATCTTTATGTATCTAGGCATAAGGTATACAGGCATGTTTTTGCACACCTCTCATGTGCGAGTGGGCATGGCCTCCTTCACAGTTAAGTTTTGGCTGATTGTGCTCAAATTTTGTAAGTACCTACATGTAAAGGGATGTAGATACAGTTAGTCGGGCACTCTTCTTAATTCAGTTTTGTGCACCACTTCCTGCTTTCACCATGCTGTGCCCACTCTGCTTTACAGTGGACAGCTGCTTCTGTGACACGCATTAATCTTGCGTTCATTGAAACACTTAGTTTTGAGTGTTTTGACTCAGTTTTGTTGTAACGTTACCTGTGTTTATATTTTCAATAACTTGTTTTGGGCTTCTCATATTTATCTTTTTTCTTGGCTTAGCAGGTTTAGTGTAAAACAAGTTTTAGCTGACATTTTACATGTTAAGATTACATGAGTGCATACATTTTATAAAAGCTATTTCAAAGTACTGTAGCCATGTGTAACATGCATATGTCTTAGTGAATGACTACTCAGCATGCTGCTTGGTGCTCAATGGTAATAGTTTGATGTGTTTTTGACATCAAGTAAGATTTGATTTTTGTTTCGGAGATTCCAATGTTATTTGTGGCAAATATTTTCCAAAAATCCTCCATCTAAAGCTTCAACTGAATTCTAAAATGCCTGCATTTTCTACCAGAAACATTAATGATACCTCCTACAATATTTCATTTTGTCACCAGGTACCTGGACTGGTGAAAAGTGAAAACTGAAATTCATTCATGTCACCATTATCCTACGACCTACCCCTAAATGGAATTGATCTTGTTTCACAAATGAGTTGTACATTGTACAATGTCTATCAGCTGATGTCTATTGTCTATCTCTCTTTCAGCACAGAAGATCCTCAGTCATAGTTAACAAAATGGAAAAAAATTAGCTGTGTTTTTAAGATTCCAGTGGTGGCCATCAACTGCTCAGGAAAGCAGCCCAGAATCACTTCACAACAGGTATGTTGATGCATGTACATTGTACATTGACATCAATGTCTGAATGCTGAAGAATTGTTGAACAGGGAACACATTTACCTAGCCTCAAAAAACCACAAATCCTACATTACATACATAAACATTTTTCTATAGAACTTATATTATCTACTTTCATCTGGCTAAGGCTTTTTTTTTACATTATATTCCCTCTGTTAAACATGAAAATATGATGAGTTATAGACTAGTATAACAAGCTGGTAATTATATCTGCCTTGTCAGCATGGCCAACATCTGCATCATGTCTATCACAAACTATGACTGCTTTCCTGGCATTTGCATTTGTTCCACTCACCAATTGACCACTTCTACCATCTGCTTGCTCTATGCACAGACATTGTCATAGGGTCTGTTCCAGTCGCACTTCCTAACACCTCTTAACTCCTCCAAGATTGCTTCCCTGTTCCTGTGGCACCTTTCGCCCCTACAAAGCCAAGAAGGGCCCTGCTCCAACCTCCTCTATCTTGCTCTTTGAGGAGTTTAGATGTGTTAGGAAGTGCGACTGGAACAGACCCATAGCAAAACGGTTTCATCTCCCTGAGTTGTACTGTCTTTTTCCAGGTTTCCAAAGGATCATCATTCATCAGCACAGAAGGGTGGGAAAGAGAAGGCTGTTCAAATTCTGAAAAGCCAGAGCTGCAAAGGAGGTCAAAGATGCAGTGCAGTTGGTCCACTCAGTAGAGTTTCACTAGTGGTTCTGATGTGGACTGAAGATTACACGCTGGATTGAAGTGGCCGGTCTGGAGCAGCTGTAGTTCATCATTCTTGCTGATTGTGGACGAGTAAGATCCCGCGTTGGCCCCGATCGGCGATCGCTGGCCAAAGCCCACCACCAGGTTGGTGATAGGCGTTGGCTGTGATATCTAGTGTCGCCTATGTGTGAAAAGGACAAGTTGATAACAAAACCTGTTGCGCCATGTTATTAACCCGCGCCCGGGTGGCCCTCAGCCAACTTGTTGGGGGGGGGGGGGGGGAGGTGTATTCGGCCACACCAGGTTATCTTGGAATGTAGCAAAGCTGGAAAGACGCAGTAAAATCAATCTATAGATCGCTATTTTTCTTCAGAATCATGCAGGCCATTTTTGATCAGGTCATCGCTGAGGTCACTGGAGGTCACCAAAAGTAAAATGATGACGAATTTTGGCCCCCGATTTTGACAACTTCACAAATTGGTTCATAATTCGGGAACCAAAGAAGCTACAGCGCCGCGGAAAAGCGAATTCGATAGCCCTTTCGAAAATCTTTCAGGTTCTCAGATTTGAGCTAAGGTCAACTAGGGTTAAGCCTCCAAAGGACAAAAACTGAACAATCGGCTTGCTTCGGAAGTCGTCTTATCTTTTTTTTTTTTTTTTAACTGATACCATACCAACCTTTTATTACGTTGATTTTACCGGCACTGCGTTTCTCTCGTCTTCTTGGCCTAACAAGGTCAGCTTAATAAATTTGACCTCAGGTCAATGTCGCAGAAAATGCCATTTTGCATGTCATTGATTCGTTACATTGAAATTGAGATTAACGTCAGTAGCGGCGGAACACCTTCAATTAAGGGGGCATTGCCGACTTTTGGTCTCATTCTTTCCATGCAACGCCCATAGGGCTAATGTTAAAATGCCAAAATCAAAGGGGGCACGGTGCCCCGGTGCCCTCGGCCTGTTCCGCCGCCTATGATTATGATGCTTTTAGCGCTCTGGCCACGTTCCATCTAAAATCGATGTACAAAAATAAACTGTTGGGAGGCGTTACATGACCTGAGATGACCTCAGGAGCATACGATAGATCCCGATGTTTGAGTGCTTTTGTTTCAAAAGCAGAACATTTCGAGTTCCTCATACTGACTGAAACTGGAGACGTCGCAAAGTTGACCTGACCCTAGGTCACCACCGATATCAAAATTAAAAATATTCAAGATGTTGGTACTGATTCTCTCATGCAATAGCTCGAGTTTCAAACTTCTACTTCATGGTGACCTGACCTGACCTTAGGTGACATGGGGTTACTTTTTTCACAATTGATGCGAATCGATGCATTATACATAAGCTATACTAAGTTTCGTGTCGTTTTATCTATGCAAGCGCAAAATTGTCAGGTGTGGCCAAAAAACGCCCCCACGGCCCACCCACCTGGGGAACGTTAAAGCAGTGATGTATTTTTTCGGTGTATTCCACGATGCATCGATCGGTGTAATGCATTACTTGATAATGCGTTATTTATTGCTGCGTGTGTACGCTTTTCCTCTGTTCAGTGTGATCTGTGATAGGAAAACTACCGATATATCTCCACGCGCATGACTGAAAGGGCTGGCGTGATCTATAATATTGGGTGTCTGTTTTTGTTTGGCATTTTATAAATAATGAGTCAGCTGTGATCGTTTGATGAGACACTGGGACAGCCGGCCTGTATGATCAGCGAACGGCAGGCGGCGGGGCAGTGGTCCGGTGGCTGCTGCATGGGACTGACACCAGCAGATTCAGAGCTGCGATACGCGGACGTTATGTTCACAATACCTTTGCAAAATAATATCTGATAGATATCATGTCCTCGAAAATGTTCTTCAATCAATATGATTTTACCTCCTGGCTTATTCCATGGGGGCCGAAACCGATCGTTTTATGCACGCCTTTTCTGGGCCTCGTTCTCCTCTAAATGCGTGTAGGTAGCAATTTTATTCAAGGGACGATTGAAAGTGCCTCCGATTGGTTTTCAGCGTAGGTGGGATATGGCCGTTGAATGTGAGGCAGTCGATAAGGAACGTCGAGCTGGAACGGTCTGACTCATTGGGTAGGTACTAGGTAAGGTATGTGAAAGGCAGCAGTGGAAAACAAGGAAGGGAGGCGTTTGGTGTGAGGTTTCAAATGCTCTATGCATAAGAAAAGTTCATTTGATTATATGACACCGTCCTTTTTAGTTTTTATCGCGATACGTGAGCAACGCATGAGACGCTCACTGTTCAGACTTGTAGCGTTAGAGACAGGCTGAGAAGGGCTATTTCCGCGAAAGGATATTCTGGAATTTGAATTGAAAGGCATTTAGTTTTGAAAGCATCAGTACTTCTTAACACGATACTGACTCATTTAAAATTTCAATTTTTCCCCATTGCGATAACATAAGAAACAGAAACTGCGGTGTCCCCGTACGCAGGATTCTGGAGACTGTCAGGCGTATGTTAGTAGCTAAAAGCTTTTGTTCTTTATTTAACAGATAACAATCATTTCTTTTAATACTTTGTAACACCTAACTCACTAGAAACAATCTGTACGGGCTTCCAAAAATGTTATATTTAACATGTTAGATCCATTACAATATTTTAGCTGCCCTAACCTGTAAATGTAACGGATGCGTCACTATTGAAAACGTGCTAAAGCATAGTATTCTATTGCTGACAAATATTCTGCGTCTGTCAGCCAAAACTGGCCAATCAGAGGCTTTGTTTGTCATTTCTGGGTGGGATTAATAAACATGCGAGCGCCGGAAGTCGGCAAGGTCACAGTCGGCGGCAGAAATTCGAAAAATCAAAATTTAAATTTTTGAAATCTGATTGTATTTTTGGATTTGGGAGGTCGATTTGCTCCCTACAGAAGCTAATATTGCTGCATATTCCCATTGAGGTGACAAGAATTAGCAAAATAGTGGTTCGGGCGCTTTTCAAAAATAGTACCGGACGCTGTTCCTCTTGTGACGTCATAGCTCCGTGACCTGACCTGACCCGGTCAAGTTTCTTATACCATATGATAGCCAATACTTGCCCCAACATGCATGGGAAGTTTCATCACGATCCATCAACCGATCTCCGTACCACCGGCAGGAAACCTCGGGCGTTGGCACTCAGTTTGTGAAAATCCGGCCGGAGGCTGTTCCCTTTGTGACGTCATAACTCCGTGACCTGACATGACCCGGTCAAATATTTTTTATCAAAAGATGCGCAAGGTTTGCCCCATAAGGTACCCAAAATTTGGCGGCGCTGCGTGCCGCCGTTTTTGCACTATTTCCGAAAAACCTCAGGGGGGGGGGGTTGCACCAACCCCCCCCCCTACATGGGCGAGGGTTAAGTAGGTACCAGGGCAATAAAAAACATACAAGTTACATATTTTTCATGTACAGTCCTTTCACAGCAACAATATGTAGAAACGCACCAAGACGTTCACGGAGAGACCACCCATAACAAACTATAGTTGAAGCCGGGGATCTGCTGCAGCAGCAGGGGTGACGTACAGGGCACAGAGGTCATGTCACATCATGTTGTACAACATGTTGCTAGAAAAAAAAAACAGATCAACATTGATTTTGAATAACTGTAGCGCTTTCTTCAGTCACTTAGGTAAGCTTTCTCTCAAGACGTTACATTAGATTCACCACTCTTGACAAAATAATCAGATTGAAACTTAGCTCTTGTGCCTGATGCACTTACATTTCAATTTATTGAAATAAAACACTCAAATTTACCCTTGAAAATTGTTGACATTTAAATGATATTAACATCAAGATTTTGATGATCAGCAAACAAGCTATTCAAATCACACCCATATAATAACTTTGGCAATGTTGATAACTCTTGCTGTTTTATTGAAAAGCAAATCTTCAATTTGTTCATATCCAAATCCAATGCCAAGCACTGAAATCTTGTTGCAAGGCCCTAAAAACAACAGACAAAAACAAAACAGTCTTGTGGAAATCGCCAGTGCGGTGCGGCGGCCTTGGCGAAATTTCCCAAGGCTGCTCTTTGTTTACATTTTAGCGATGGGCCAACTTGGCCGCCCAAGTACTTGTTTTGCGTGAGTAAGTACAATTTTGTCAATTTTGAAACGGCTATATCTCGCAAATTTTGGTACCGATTTACATTTTATGCATATCTTTAGAATCGGCAGAGTCTGGGGAGTTCATTGATTGGAAATTTATGCCGATTCCTTTCAATTTTTAAACCCTGATAATCCCTTTAACCCGCGCCTGCTGGGGGGGGGTGTTTGAACACCCCCCCCCCCCCTTGTGGTTTTTCGCGAATATCTCAAAAATCATGTTGTTTAACCTTCACTTTAAAACAGGTTCATTTAGATCTGACTTGAAATACTAGGGATGTGTAAATTCGAAATGCCGAGAGCCAATAATAACTTTATCCATAAAAGTACAAAAGCTAAAACAAAAGACGACATAACTATTTATATCTAAAAATATAACAATGTTCCAAATATTCATCTAATCTACATCGATTTAGATATAAGATTAACATGCAATTGAAATACATTTCAATATAAACACAACATCAATAGGTAAACAGAAACATGCAATGCAACTTCAAATAAAAATAACAACAGTTATAAGCAGATTAATCAGCCGGCATTCGAGTTCACATCTATCATTTCAGATCGGAAAAGGACATCGTTCCAATCAGCCACAGCACAGGAATTGACGTTTCATAAATAGTGTTCCTACATTTTACTAGCCAGCACGTCGCGTCCCAGCTGTTTAGTGAGAAGTTACACAAACATGCTACAATGAAGCTGCAATTTGTTGAATTCTAGACTTAGATTAAGACCAACATACATCATAAGAAATATAGATTATGCAACAAAAGCTTGTGGCGTTTTTTTTTTCTCTGAAGCATGTTTGCAAACAAGTTTCGCGATTTTACAAAGAAAACACTGCCCTGCAGATTTGACGCATAAAAATACAAATCTGTCCTTCAAGCAATAGATCAGTCATCGGTACAACCTTCGAGAACATGCGGCTTTATCATGATAAGTTTGACTTTACAAGGCTGCGATTTTCCCGTAAAAGCTAACTGTCGTGCCGAACGATAGCCAGTACTCCAGAAATCCACGACAGTAGCAGCTTGTTTACACTTAGTTCAAGAACCTTTTTTAACAATAAAGCTCGGCCAGTTATATAC